CGCGTTAACTGGCGGTTATTTTATATTTTATTTTTTACGAAAATCTTGTATGAAACAATAATAAGACGAGACAGTAAAAGCCTTCCAACATATTCAACAAAAGACATGTAAAATAACCTATAGATTGATCTGAATGATTGGTTTATGGACTATGAGTACATGGACATACTTTTGGTATTTATAACTTACGGCGGTCCCATTTCAGTTAAGATTGTCTGTACACACACACACACATATGTATGCATGCGCACATATGCACACATACAGTTTGGAAAATATAGCAGAAGGACTTTCAAACAAATGCACTCAGTGTATACCTCATGGGTATTGATTTTTTTTCCAAAGATCAATTCTATGAATTCTCTTATTTTTTTCTCACATCAAAGCTATCCTTTTAGGGTTTTTTTTTTTTTTTTTTTTTACTTTTCTGTAATGAACACTTTTTTTGTGGAAGAGGAGTCCTTTTTGCTTGCTATATTTTTCTTCTTTGTTAATTGACAAATAATTGTATATATTCAGGGGTATAATATGTTATGTATATGATAACACTTTTCTTTTTATAAACATAGAAGAACACACGTATCTCTCTTTTTTTTTTTTTTTCCAGCTGCAGCAGGCCAGAGACATAAGACATGGGGCTGGGCCCCAGGACAGGGTGGTGAGGACATCCCGGTTCCCACGAAAAGCAACCGCCTGGCAAGGCTGGAGCAGACAAAGAGGGAGTGAGGGGGTGTGGCTCACTCCCCAAGTTTTTTGGCTCAGCTTCAGCGCTGGGTCATTCTTGGGGACTGCTATACCCACTGGGCACTGCAGAACTTCTGGTGCTTGTGGCACAGGGGAGTCAGGAGGAGCCCTGTCCCTGGACCAGACCTTCCTGTTTGGGGTACTGGGACCCAGTGGCCCTGTGCACCTTTCCTGAAGCTTCTGGGCCCCCAGTGATCGAATGCAGAGTGGGCTGGGGAGTCACAGACTGTGCTTCCTGCCTTCATCCTCCGTTCCAGGTTCCTGTGCATTCGTGGGCCCATCCACCTGGCTGGGCTTGGCTAGGCTGTGACCTTCTCTGAGGACAGGGCTCTGCCTGCATTTGGAGCTGCTGGGACCTCAGTGTCACCCCCCACTCTCGCCAGCTGGCCTCACAAAGGTGCCCAGGAGGAGACCTGATTGCCGGCTCCTTTCCCCTCCCTGGCTGAGCAGATTCTACAACAGCCTGTGGAAATTAAAATAAGAGCCTAAAACTGTCAAAAAAATTTTTTTAACCAAGTCACAAATGGGAAAGCTGAGGCGGCGGCAGGTTAAGGACACGTTGTGATGTAGCGTTCTCTCCCGGTGCTTTCGTACTGTAAACATCACAGTCCACCGTCCCTGTGAACAGGCAGCCACAGAGACTGGGTTTAGAGTTGCCGGGGGAAGGCTGCATCCAAAGTGTGGCCAGCTCAGAACTATTCCACCACATGGGGGGCCATTAGTTCTGCTCAGTTCTGTGGGGCCTCACTAGTGTTTCCATTTAAAAATAAGTCAAGGTAAAAGAAAAAGTTTTAAAATCTAACAGTCATGTATCTATTTCTGTAATTGTAAAGAAATACACTGTCCTGTGACGGCTGGAGGCTCTGGAGCAGAGGACCTAGGAGACAATGTTTTCTTTTTCCTTTTTTTTTTTTTCCTGAATTTTCCAAACCATCTATAACAGTGTGTATTGCTTTTATAATGGGAGGAGATAAAATAGACTTACATTAAAAATAAAGTGCACCTGAGCCTACATGTCAAATGTGATAATCAAAGGCACTTTCTATTTATCAAATACCTGGTTCATGCCACATCTCCTGCTAGGCCCTCCCAGCATGCTGGCTCCTCAGAACACCCTGCAGGTGGGAGCTGGCAGCCGGGTCCCTGAGGCAGCACTCAGCACCCACGTGGCAGAGCCAAGGCTGGACAGGGATGACTCCAACTCCCAGGATTGTATTATGCTTATAACGACTTCCTGCCTGTTTGTATTTAAGACAAGGTCTCTCACTGTAGCCTTGACCTCCCGGGCTTGAGCAGTCCTCCCACCTCAGCCTCTGGAGTAGCTGGGAGTTACAGGTGCACACCACCATGCTTGGCTAATTTTTGTATATTTTGCAGAGACAGGGTTTCACTGTGTTGCCCAGGCTGGTCTGGAATTCCTGGGCTCGTGTGATCCACCAGCCTCAGCCTCCCAAAGTGCCAGGATTATAGGCGTGAGCCACAACACCCAGCCCCTGTCTCTTAAAGGTGAACATTTTCCCTAAATACAATGATGTTGAGTTCAAGTATTTGTATCTTACTTACATAGAATATGGAATTATTTCTGTAAACAGAATTTAGTAAAAAATATAAAAATCAGCCAGGTGTGTTGGCTTACACCTGTAATCCCAGCACTTTGGGAGGCCAAGGTGGGCGGATCACAAGGTCAGGAGATAGAGACCACCCTGGCCAACATGGTGAAACCCTGACTCTACTAAAAATATAAAAATTAACTGGGCATGGTGGTGTGCACCTGTAGTCCCAGCTACTTGGGACGCTGAGGCAGGAGAATCGCTTGAACCCGGGAGGCGGAGGTTGCAGTGAACCAAGATCGTGCCACTGCGTCACTGCACTCCATCCTGGTGACAGAGTGAGACTCTGTCTTAAAAATATATATATATATATATATATAACTCATAGATTTTTACCTTATGACACTGTTGACCAACAGCCAAAGTCAGGATCGGTTATGTAACTCTCAGAGCCCAGAACAAAATGAAAATATGGGTTCCCTTGTTCAAGAATGACTGAGAATTTTAAGATCGGGGACAGCCAAACATTGAGTGTAGGGCCCTTCTGCACACGGACCCTCTACCACGGGGTAGGCCACAAGGCCCACAAAGTCAGCCCTGGACAAGTTATTGATGGTGTATGATAGAACTAAGGTGACAGTTCCCTTTGAGACACACTCTAATCATCAGTGACCACCAGTCAGAAAACAAATGGGCTTAAGCTGCAGGAAGATGAGCCATTCCCAAGGCATTTTCCAATCTGAAAAATAGCGGTCGCAGCTCAGGAATGGAGTTCCGGGTGAGGATGCAGCGGGAGACACAGCCAGGCTTCCCTCCCCAGGAAAGGGCCAGGCCCTGCATAGGAGCTTTCGTGAAAAACCAGGGAGGCTGCAGATTCTCTGGAAATATCAACATGCTGGTGCCACACCTCGATAGAGCTTCCGTCACTCTGCCATGGAGCGTGCGAGGCTGACCGTCCTAGGCCTTGGGGAGAAATCATGACAGCTGATGCCAGTGCTTGTTACTAGGGAAACACAGTAAGAACCTTCATCCCTCAATGTTTATACCTACTATGTACTCACAAAAATTTTAAAAAAGGATTTACTATGAAAATGTAAAGTATCTCATTAATCTTTATCTTGATCATATGTTGAATTGATAATATTTTGGATATATTGGTTTAAATAAAATATATTAATTAAAAAAAAAAAAAAAGAAAAGGAAAACTTCATCCTGCTGCCTCTGGGAAAGGATCTTGGGTTCATTGGCAGGTAAACGTTCCCCCAAAGGAGGTCCGCTATGAATGCTGGAAAGAAACCGTCAGCTGACAAGCATCTGCAGCTCTGAAAACAAGGGCTCCACGCATTGTCCCCGCCAGTGCCCCACCAGCCCACCCCCATCACCTCTATGTCCTCAGCCCCACGTCAGGTTCTGGAAGTTTCCAGGGGAGTGGGCAGTACCCTCAGGGGCTCTTGGGGTGAGGCCTCTTCCATGAGTCACATGTGGAAGCCCGGGACCAACCTCAGAGAGGATCATGTCTGAGAAGTCGTCTGAGGGGAAAATATCCGCTTCAGAGAGTGGTTCTCCAGGCCTTTGGGGACAAAGGACAAATATTCCTCCCACCCCAATCCCCAACAGGCTCCTTGTTCATTTTTCTTTAAAAAACAAGAAAACAAATCCCCATTCTCCCCAGCCTGAAACAGTGCTCTGGAGGAGCTGCCCTGGCCCCGAGTGTCTTCTCCATAAACACGTCTGGCGAGGAAGGACGGACAACGGCCTCAGGCCCAGCTGGCAGCCAGAAGATCTATGCCTCCCAGCGCGTCCAGGGCCCTTGCAGTCTCGAGAGATGTGGCTTGGCCACTTTTGCAGATTCCCAGGCCTGGGGCCACTCAGTTGCCTCCCCCAGCCCAGGTGTCTCCACAGGACCCTGGCCTGGGAGAGTCTGAAGCCAGGCAGGGAGAAGAGGGTAGAAAATGGTGGTGCTGGGGAGCTGGGCTGTGGGAGTTGGGCTGTGGGAGCTGGGCCAGGCCAGCAAATCATCCCCGAAGGTGGAGAACTGCCGGCTGAGGGCACCGTGGGCCTGGGTCCAGGGCCTAGCGTGGAACCCCTTCTCCTGGAGCACCAGGGGTCACAACAGTCCCTCCACTCCACGATCACGGGTGACCCACGGCCGGGTGCTTTCAGGACGAGACAAAGACAGCGTGTTCCTCCAAGCCCCTGCCTGCTGCTCCGTCACTGGCCATGGTCTGCGTGCCAACAACCTTTTAGGAAGCATCTTGTGCCCACCCTCACCACCCCGCAAAAAACCTGTGTCCAAACACTTGGCAGTGGGCTTCAAACACTCAGGTGCCCCGAGGAGGCGCCGGGAGATGAGCCCCGAGCGCTGACTGGCGAAGGCCCCAGCAGGACTGGGCCGTGGGACTTGCTTGTTTACCTCTTAAGAGAAAAACACAACGAAAAAAGCTTCTGGGTAGAATTGGAAGTTCTGGGGCTCTCGGCGCCTCGGCCTCCGCGCGGTTCTCTTCCTCCCCTCCCCGGCCTGCTTTTCCTCCTTCTTTCCCTCTTTGTTGCCAACCTCAGAGCCGCGGCTGAAACCCAGCCCAGCGTCCGCGAAGCCCGGAAACTTCCAGCTCCGCGACTGTGCAGAAAGTTGGGGGGCGCGGCCGGGGTGACAGCAGCGTCTCGGGAGCGGCCGCGGCGGCCACCCGGGACCTCGGCCTCCCGCGCCTCCCGCTGCCCCAGCCGCGCCCGGGGACCTCGGGCAGCCCGCGGGCCGGACGTGAACTTGACCGTCGCTGTGCCCGCCTGGACCGCGGCGCGCTCGGGACGATCTGGTAAGCGCTACCCCTCCCGCCCTCGCCCGGCGGCGCTGGGGTCCGGGTCGGGGTCCGTGGCTCGACCACGAGGGCGTGTCCGGGGCGGCGGGCGCCAGGGCTCCTCGGCCGCTGCACGGGAGCGCACGGCTGAGCCCGCGGCCCGGCCGGGTGAAGTCAGCCCCCAGCCTTCCAAACAAAGACTCGGAAAGTTGGGAAGGGAATCGTTCCCGACATTTTCCCTCCCCTCGGGCTCTGGGTTGCGGCCATCAGGGCTCCTAAAAGGGAAAGGAGAGCTCTCTGGTTTTCTCCTGGTGTTTTCTTCCCTGCGCTTTGCCCCCTACCTTTGGCTGGAGGGAAGGAGGAGGGGGCATGGACGCCCCTCGGGTCCTCAGGTGTTGACCCTCCAAGGTCAAGCTGCCCAGGGACACCACAGGAGGTGAGGGCCTGTGGGATGAGGGACCCCCGACAGCACAAGGAGGCAAGCCCCTCACGGCTGCAATGCTTGGGTCCTGGGGCTCAGATGGAAGTTGCTCCTGATCCCCCCCACCGTCCGTACCATTCTGAGTGACTTCTCTTGGCCGTCCTGGGTGACCCTTCTGAGCAAGACACCCTGGTCACCAACTGTCCTGTTGGCTCTGCTTGGGGCAACCACAGGGCCAAGTGAGCCTGGCAGGTGCTGGGTCACAGGACAGCCATGGATAGGGCCTGGGGAGGAGGAGAAGCCGGGGCCCTGTAGGGCCTGTTCCTTGGGGAGCAGGTGGGGGACTCTGCTGCCACCCCAATTCCTGCCTGCGACAGGCCCAGCCCATACCTCCAGCTAGCTTCTCTGCATGCCCCTCTGTCTGCCTGAGACAAGGCCTCTGTCCCCGTGAGGGTTCTGATCCCTGGGGGGCACTCCTGGGGTAGAAACCTACCCCACCAGTGGGCGGTGGCAAAGCCCTGGAAACTCACAGAGCTGTCCTGGGCCTGGGCCTCCACAGGCCTCCCAGTTTGATCAGGTGCCCCCAACCACAGCAGGGACCACCTATCAGGTCTTGCTACCCGCGGTAGCCAGGTCCTCAGCCTTCCAGAGACCATTGCTAACTTGCCTCCATCCCCGGGTGCCTACGCTCCCAAAGTCCTCCTTAGGGGAGCACCCAAGCCAAGAGGGCTGGCCAACCGGAGCCTGAGCGGGTCACCCCACCGTGTCCCTGGACTCTGCGGCAGGGCTGTCACAGGGCAGCCTGCAGGCGTCAGCTGGGGCACAGAAGGGGTTTGCAGTGATGGCAGGGGACGGAGTGCTCAGTCAGCTCCAGCCTGTTGCTACCATGAGGATAAGGGCTAGGGCTGTCCGAGCTTCTGACTTTGGAAGAAATCCAGATTTGTACATGAAATGTCCAAAATTTGAACACATTGCAGGACAGAGGAAACACTGTCGGATTGAACCCAACCCATGCCCCCACCCCAAGTTTGCAACTCCTGTGGACGCCTGAACTGGTTAGTGTTCAAAGGAAGGCAGATTTCTTAGTGACCCTGGCCCCAGCCTGAGATTTGAGCAGGAGGCCCCGTGGATCTGGGGAGCAGGGAGGCAGGAGCGTTTGTATCTTACAGATCCAGCACCATGGGGAGGGTCGGCCTCCACAGGCATGAGCTGTCCAGGTAACTAACCCTTGCTTGAGCCCATTTAAAGTTAAAATCTCCCTGAAATGAGGAACCTGACCTGCTCCATCCCCAAACCCTTTGGGGGAGCTTTTATGTCCATTCAGTCAGGGTATGATGAAGGAAAGACAGGATGCAGAGAATGACTTTCTTCATGTCCCAGGCAGCGGAGCCGCAGCATGTCGAAAAGCCTGGGCTTATAGGGCAGTTCTGCACTGAGGCAGGCCTGCCTCCGCCTGCCAGCGCTACCTCATTCTAGCTGGGTAACCTCACCTCTCTAGGCCTCAGTTTCCTCATTCATAAAAGGAGCTTAATAAGAGCCGGCAGAACTCACATCTGTAACCCCAGCACTTTGGGAGGCCAAGGCAGACAGATCATGAGGTCAGGAGTTCGAGACCAGCCTGGCCAACATGGTGAAACCCCGTCTCTACTAAAACTACAACAATTAGCCAGGTGTGGTGGCACACACCTGTAGTCCCAGCTACTCAGAAGCCTGAGGCAGGAGAATCGCTTGAATCCGGGAGGCGGAGGTTGCAGTGAGCCGAGGTTGTGCCACTGCACTCCAGCCTGGGTGACAGAGCAAGACTCTGTCTAAAAAAAAAAAAAAAAAGAGTAAAAAAAGAGTTCTACCTCAGTTGCATTGTTGGGAGAATGGTGACAATCCCTGTGAACATGGAGCACTCCGCTAGCACACGGCAGGCACTCAGCATCAGTGGCTGCTGGCTTCTCTCACACATCACCTGCTTCTGGGCAGCTCAGGAATTTCTCTCCTGCATCTCATGTCAACTTTGCATCGCTTGCCTCACCACCTTCTGGTGCTTGTTTCCATACCCTAAAGGAAACAGTCACTGAACACCTCCCCCACACCTATACTCCTGTATGGAGTACTAGGCACAGAGAGGTAAGATGACAAGGTCCTGCCTTAGAAGCTGCCAGATGCCCTGTGCAGTGACACCCTCAGGTGAGCTTCTCTAGGCTAATGCCAGAGAAGGTGTTTCCTGTGCAGCCTTTGTTGAATGCCTCCAGAGACAGGCAGCTCACTACCTATCTGGCAGTGTGGCTGTAGAAGCTGTAGGACAGGGTCACCCAGGCATCCTTGAGCCTTAACTGGTAGAAAGAGATGCAGGGCAGGTTCACAGACAGTGCCCCTGAGTCAGAGGCACCGGGTTTTACTGGAGGAAACACATACCTCATAAGAAATTTCTGAAAATTTGGTGAGGTGTACAGAAAGATTTCAGTCTCCAGAAAAAGCACTGCAAATGCTCATGCATGTTTTTACAGAACAGAGCCCTGTTTCCTCTTTTTGCCGACAGCCCATTTAGCAATGCCAGGGCTGTGCTGGTGACCACACCCACTTCCTAACAAGGCAGCCACTGTCCCAGGGGACAGCCAATATATGCTTTGATTTTCCGAGGTTAGTGTCCTTGGGCCCCTGATTTTGGAAAGCCTGGACAAAATATAAGGAGTCACTGCATGGAAAATAAACCTACTCCAGAGAGCTGGCTGCTGTATTCAGGAAACTGGAGAGAAAGGTCAAGGCGTTCTGAGGCCCCAGGGTTCCTCGCCAGGATCGGCTATAGAGTTTGCAGGACCCGGGTAAGGTGAGAATGTGGCGCCCTGGTTTGAAAATGCCTGAGAGTTACAAGATGGTGACGATGGTGCGCATTAAAATGAGCTTGGGGCCCTTCCGAGTGCAGGGCCTTCCTAAGCTCAGGGCCCCGTGCAGTGGTACGGGTCACAAACCCACAAAGCCAGCCCTGCCCCTCACACGTGTTCGTGCCACATGCTGAGGCCCAGGGAGGGACCAAAGGCAGCTTCAGTGAAGGAGTACAACTCCTCGTCTTTGCCATTCTTTTTTTTTTTTGCCATCATTGATGTTCCACGCTAATTTTAGAACACTTTGAGTCCTCACAAAAGAAAAACATTTTTCAATCACCTATGAAACCACACTCAGAGATAGCCACTGGAAAGGCCTCACCCAGGTTCTGCCAAAACTTTTTTTTTTTTTTTTTTGAGATGGAGTCTCGTTCTGTCGCCCAGACTGGAGTGCAGTGGTGCAATCTCGGCTCACTGCAACCTCTCCTTCCTGGGTTCAAGCGATTCTCCTGACTCAGTCTCCCAGGTGGCTGGGACTACAGGCGCCCACCACCACGCCTGGCTAATTTTGGTATTTTTAGTAGAGATGGGGTTTCACTATCTGGTCTCGAATTCCTGACCTCAGGTGATCCACCTGCCTCAGCTTTCCACAGTGCTGGGATTACAGATGTGAGCCACTGCACCTAGTCTGTCAAAACATATTTTAAGCAAAATTAGCATCTTATTAGGTGTATCATTTTATCTTCTGCTTGTTTCATTAATACTTTATCACAATATTTTCCTAAGTCAGAAGATACAGTCCTGCAAATGAATTTTGATGACTATTTAGCATTCCACTGGACAGAAGTCCTTAACTAACCCTTATTATCAGGCCGTTGGGTTCTTCCCAGTTATTTCCAGTTTTCCCCATTATAGGCAACACTTCCAGAACATTTGTCTGCACTTTTCTGATTACCTCCAGCTTTAGTGGTGGGACTCCCAGTTAAGTCATTAGGGGTGACATTTTGGCTCCAGAACCCTCTTGGGGTGGTCTCTGAAAACCAAGTACCTCAGCCCCCATGCCTCATGCAGTGATGATCCCACACCACAGCCCTGGCATCTTCCTTTTTCTTTTTTTTTTTTTTTTTGAGATAGAGTCTTACTGTCATCCAGGGCTGGAGTGCAGTGGCACTACCTCAGCTCACTGCAACCTCTGCCTCCCGGGTTCAAGTGATTCTCCTGCCTCAGCCTCCGAAGTAGCTGGGACTGCAGGCACGTGCCACCATGCCCGGCTAATTTTTTGTATTTTTAGTAGAGACACGTTTTACCATGTTAGCCAGGATAGTCTTGATCTCCTGACCTTGTGATCTATCCACCTCAGCCTCCCAAAGTGCTGGGATTACAGGCATGAGCCACCGCACCCGGCCCTGACTTTCAAGAGAAAAACCTGACTTTTCCCACAACTGACTTGACTGGCAGCATAGGCAAAGACTCGAAGTGAGTCTGGAGCGCTGACTGCCTGCCCTGCACTGGCTGTGTTGATCGCCATCTGTGAGGTGCTACCTTCATCCCCAGGTACAGACAAGGACCCCAGGCTCAATGGGCTGAGGCACTGGCCCAGGGAAACTCCCTGCCGCCCTTATTGTGAGGAGGACACATTTGTGACTCTGAAGCAGAAAAGACCCTTTGTCCTGCCAAACCATGGGCAGGATTCGGGGGTCCACATGTGGCTGCTCGGGTGGCCTGACCACTGAGCCTGTCAGGCCGGGGTTGGGAGGAGGACGCTAGCCTGGTGCCTGCTCACAGGGAGCACTCGACAAACAGCAGCAGGAGGAAGCGGAGAGGACGGGGCAGCAGCAGCAGGAGGGGAGGCTCTGCGGGCATCTCCCGGCTGGCGAAGGCTCCTGAGAGCAGGGATCAGGTCTGCGGCCCCAGGGCCAGCCCAGCAGGGGAGCAAGGTGTGTGAACACATCGACGAGGGCTGTGTCCTTCTTCCCCTTCACAGGCAGCTGGGCATGTCCGGGCCAGAGGGGAGGGCCTGTTAGTTTCCTGTGGCAGCCATGTAACAACTTCTGGCTGACTTAGTGGCTTAAGCAACACACATTTATTACCTTACAGTCAAGGGGGTCAGATGTCTGAGGTGGGGCTCCCAGGGCTAAAATCCAGGTGTTGGCAGGGCTAGTTCCTCCTGGAACTCCAGGGGAAAAATCCATACCTTGCCTTTTCTGGCCTCTGGCGGCACCTGCTCCTTGGCTCCTCCTCCCTTCTTCCATCTTTAAAGCCAGCAGCGTCCCCTCGTTCTGTCTCTGACCACAGCAGGGAAGGAGTCTCTGCTTTTAAGGTTTCGTGTGACTAGACTGGGTGCACGTGGCTAATCCAGGCTACCCTCCCACTGCAGATTTTTAACTCAATCACACACCTGCAAAGTCCCTTTGGTCTAGTGCGGTAACACTTTCCCAGGTTCCAGGGATTAGGGCTCGGACATCTTGGGGACATTATTCTGCCCAGCAAAGGTGGTATCAGGGAGTCTGAGCATCTGAACCTCCCCAGGGGACTGAAGGAATGCCTGCAGTGTCCTCTTCCTCGTCCTCAGCAGCTGTGAGTCCAGAACACAGGCCGTCTACAAGGTCACACCTGGAGAGATCCAGGGAAACTGAGCTCACAGAGGTCTTGCCCAGGACCCCAGGCCAAGTCCTGCGTTGTCTTCCACAGATGCCCCCCTTCCCCACCACCCTGTAATGCACTGGCCAGGGGGTGGCAGCATTTTGGCCTGGAGGGACACCAGCCTGAGGACTCTGCGGAGCTCTGGGCCTGGGGGGAAGGCGGGAGGAACTGTCATATATTGGGTGACTTCCCCACACCAGGGGCCGCTTTACGGAGGTTACCTTTTCACCCCCCAAGTCCCATGGGAAGTGCAGATTTGTTTCCTCAGTGCAGATTTGTTTCCTCATCTCATAGGTAAGGAAGTTGAGGCCCTCAAAGGGGCAGTGGCTTGTCCGTGGAGAAGAGTCTGGTCCTCTCGGCCGGGCGTGGTGGCTGGCGCCTGTAGTCCCAGCACTTTGGGAGGCCGAGGCGGGCGAATCACAAGGTCAGGAGATCAAGACCACGGTGAAACCCCGTCTCTACTAAAAATACAAAAAATGAGCCGGGCGAGGTGGCAGGCGCCTGTAGTCCCAGCTACTCGGGAGGCTGGGGCAGGAGAATGGCGTGAACCCGGGAGGCGGAGCTTGCAGTGAGCCAGGATCGCGCCACTGCACTCTAGCTTGGGCGACAGAGCAAGACTCCGTCTCAAAAAAAAAAAAAAAAAAAAGAGTCTGGTCCTCCCAAGAAGCCTGTGGCTGGTGGAGAAGCGGGTGTGAATGGGCTGTCCTATGAGCAGGAGGGTGGGTGTGCGGTGATGTCGGCGTGGTCCCTGTGGAGCCCTGTGCACAGGCCTGTGCATCCGCTGACAGGCAGCCGAGAAGACCTGCAGTCACATCGCTGATGGTAAAGCTGTAGCAACAGGCTCAGAGAGGTGTGTTAGTTTTCCCAGAGACACACAGCTCTCTGGAAGAGTGCCATCCTCTGAGCTCCTTTGCCTGGTGTTTTGTATCCCTTGCCCCATGGGCACATGTAGGAGCAGAGTTCCTTGGGGTTCGATCTGTGGGGTGGTTTGTGAGGGGGACTGTGTCATCCATTGTGGAACAGACTTCGCTGCCTCTCTGTAAAACGTTTTTGCCTGACGTGAATTCTCTCCCTTGACTGGGGGCCAGCACAGTGCATAGTAGGGTGGTTAAGAGCCCTGGGTTTGGGCTGAGTACAGTAGCTCATACCTGTAATTCCAGCACACTGGGAGGCCGAGGCAGGAAGACATGAGCCCAGGAGTTTGAGACCAACCTGAGCAACAAAGGTTAAACAAAAAAGAAATTAGCTGGGCGTGGTGGCACATGCCTGTAGTCCCAGCTACTTGGATGGCTGAGGCAGGAGGATAACTTGAGCCTGAGAGGTTGAGGCTGCAGTGAGCTATGATCATGCCACTGCACTCCAGCAGGGGCAACAGAGCAAGACCCCATCTCAAAAAAAAGAAAAGAAAAGCCTTGGGATGGGCGCTGGGTTGCTCTTAAATCCCAGGGCCCCCACTTTGGTGTGATCTCAGGTATGCCCTGACTGCTCTGTGCCCGAGTTCCCCCAGCTGTAAAGGGGGGTGATAATAATGCTGCCCAGACCCCAGAGGACACCGAGGAGGCTCTTGCTGGGCAACTGGTCCTGCCTCAGAGCCCTTCCACTCCACGCACCCCTGCGTACACTCAAGGGCAGATGGGCCCCCCACAACCAAGCCAGGCCTGGTGGCCCTAGGACACTCTTGGTCACAAGATTTCAGATTATTTTCTCAGCAAATTTCTGACCACTGTCCTGGGGCCTCAGCAGGGGCAGAGCTGCATGGTCCTGGGTCTATCTGGACTTGTTCTGGCTCCAACTTCAGCCCACCACAAGGACAAGGGTTTTGGGAACTCAGGCAGGCTCTCTGCCAACCAGGAGCCACTCTTGCTCGCCTGGACCCCACGGGGCAGGAATAATGGGCATTCATATCATTCCCATTTTGCAGCCAGGCAGACCGAGACCCAGAGAGGCCAGATAACCTGCCTCAGGTCACACAATTGCCAAAGGATAGGGCCAAACCTTGGTGATGGCCAGACTCTAAATCCAGGGCCACTTCTTGCCTTAGGAATATAGTCTTCCCTGGCACTCACTTAGCCAAGAATCTTTCTAGAAGGGGGGCAGGCCTTCCTGCCCCATTCCCGGAACAGGCCGGCTGCTTTCAGGGCCAGAAGAGCCATGGAACAGCCCTTTGGAGGAGGAGGCTTGTGAGAATGTGTAGGGGTCGCAGAGCCTCCCCAGGCAGGGCAGCACTGCAGCTTGCATGTGGCAGGGGTGTGGGGTGAAGCTGTGCAGGGCAAAGGACAAGTCAGTCGCCACTGGAAGTGCCCCACTCGGGGGCCTCGGTGTGTCTCTTTCCCCAGCACTGGCATGGCACATTTTGACCTGAGCAATGGTGAGCTGCCCGGAATATGAACAGGAGGAAGAGAACCTTCCCCAGGCAGCATGTGAGGCTGGGGTGGCACTCGACACAGGATGGCAGCAAAGGGCATGCCGCCCTCCAGGCCGAGGGTCTCGGGAGCCTCCCTTCCCAACCCCTGCTGTGGCCTCTCCCTCAGGCCTGGCATGGGAGGAGTTAAGCAGCCGCGGGCACCTTGGCACATTACGCTGCCCAGAGTGTCCGGCTCCCCACCCCCACTGCTTTTCTTCCTTTTTGCCTTTTTCCTTCTTAATTAATCATACGCTGCTGCCCAATTTAAATATGGAAATGCCCAGGCCGAGGCGATGCAATTATTCATGAGGGCCGGGCGGCTGTCCGGGGCTCTCGGGCTGTGGGGAGTACCGTGGCATCGCCTCGGTTCTGATGTGTGTGAAATTATGTGCACAAAAGGCGCCTCCTTATCTGGGTGTGTGAACTAAATAAATAAATAAGGGCTTTTGTTTGTTTGCCGGCTCCTGCACATGGCTGCTGGGACTCAAGCGCTCATGTTGTCTGCGCCTCTGTGGGACTCGGGAGACAGGAGGCAGGGGAGGCCCCCGCAGGCCGGCCTGGGGCTGGGGGCTGGGGGCCGGGGGCCGGCCACCAGGCACCTGGGGCCCTCTCCCTCCCCTGGCACCACCCTCACCCCGCAGCCACCCCCCCATACACACCCTCGCCGGAAAGTTCGCCCTGCCCGGGCTGGGCTCCCAGGCAGCCTGGCACGGTGCCAGGCTCGCCGCCGAGCTCGGGCAGCAGGGTGGGGCGAACGCAGAGCACGGAGGACGGGGCCAGGCGACCTGGGCACCAGCAGGACCTGAGGCCAGGAGCCGGGGGCCCAGAAGGTGAGGGCACCCCAAGTGGGCGCAGGGTGGGAGCTCTGCGGGCAGCAGGCCCTGCGGCCGGGCCCAGGAGCAGGCCTCGTGGGGGTGGGGGGTTGGAGCGGAGGCTGGCAGAGGAGGCAGGCACAAAGGAGGGCAGTGCCAGGCAGCTGCGGCCGACGCGGGCATCGCTGCCTGCCTGCCCCCAGCCGGCCTCCCTGCCGGCTGGGGCTGGCCTGGGCTCCGAGCGGAGGACGCGTGTGCAGGGGGCCAGGCAGGAGCGGCAGATACCGAGCCGAGCCGTGGCCACAGGGCCAGCCGCGCGCAGTCGGAGGAAGGGCCGGAGCGAGGCGGGGCCCGGGGCTGTCAAGGAGAAAAACATCCCAAGGCCTGCAAATTGCTGCTCTCAGCTTTTTTCCCCCCTCCTCCTGCTTCGGGGGTGGGGGGGGGGGCGAAAAAAAAGCAGCGCTTCCTCTGGAGGCGGATGCAAAAAGGATGCAGAATTTTAACCATCTCCTGCACCGGCCCTCCTTCCTGAGCAGGGTTTGGGCCCTGGCCTGGCGCCGAGGCACCCTGGGAAGGGAAAGGCCAGAGCAGCCGATACCGGTTCTGGGGGACGCCGGAAAGCCCAGCCTCCTCTGCACCTCGATCCAGAACGGGAGGCCCCACAGCACCTGCAGCAGGGGTGGAGGATGGGAGGCGGAAGGGGCCTGGTGCCTTCGGAGGCTGCACCTCACGGTACCAGTCACTACCCAGGGCAGCACGCCTGTTTGCTGGCCTCCTCTTGGTGTTAAACTTGGTGTCCAAGTCCCTGATTGGAGACCCCAGCCCTGTACTGGGTGGGGGTCTTGGGGCCCCCTGACTTGGGGGCCCACTGACTTGGGGCCTTCAACCACACTGGCATCCCAGGCCTTCCTCTTGACTAATTTCTGTTTTAAAAACAATGTGGAACGTTTTCTGGCATCTGGTGAGGACTTCACACACTGTACATTCAAGGCAGGACTTAAGGAATGAGTTCACAAGGTATCTGGTCACTGGACAAATGGCGGGCAAGCCCCCTGTGCTCCTCACTGGGTGAGACTCAGGGGCATGGGTTCAGGCAAGGGATCTCAGAGGGATGGTCTGGGCCCACATGCCCACAAGGCACAGAGCCTAGGGTCCATGAAATGTTTTCATTTTAATTTCTTTTAAAATCATAAGAAAAAAACGACTATAAAAAAATGAATATATGATAATGAATTCGACCTGGTTATATTAGTCTTTAATCTGATGCAGTCATAAAATAGAGTTTTTAGTATTCCTGGAGGAAGGGAACCAGGAAGCCGAAAGTGCCCCGGCCGATGAAAGGCAGGTGTGGCCTGGGTTGGTCCTGTCTGTCCCAGGACAAAGGGTCGGATGTCTGGGTCCAGGGGTGGGGTTAGGAGCATCTGGGTGCCCTGTGAATCTGGCCTCCATGAAGGCTAGCCGGGACAGGTTGCTCCAGCCTGCGGCGGACAGGAGCCAGGGCTGTGTGTGTCTGTACGTGTCCATGTATGTGCATGTGGGTATGCAGGCATACTCGTGTGCATGCCAGTGTTTGACAAAGGATTCCCAGACACCTGCGTGTGTAAGTCCCAATTCTCAAAACAGGGGAATGCAAGGCCAGGGTCAGGAGACAGTGTGGCTGCGAGGGCCTTGTATTCCTGACAATGATGGGTGGGGAGTGCCATTGTCTCCCTAGGAGAAGGCAGCCTTCAAGGTCCCAGTGCCCCCAAGCCCATGAGCTCACACAAAACAACGCGAGCCACAAATGCAAGCCACATCTGTAATTTAACATCTTCTAATAGCCACATTTTTGGAAAGTGAAAATAAGCAGGTGAGATTCACTTTAGTACTAAAATTCATTTTAATCTAACATAAATTTCCAAAATCCTATTTCAATGTGTTGCTTGTATGAAACTGTGAATGGGATATTTTGCCATTTTTTCCATATTCGATTTGGCCTCTCCCCATTTCAATGGCTCAGTTGCTGCATGTGGAGAAGGGGCTGCCATGGCAGGTATGCAGGTTTAGTAGGTCCCTGTGCCCCCCACTTCCCCACCCAGAGTAGGGGAGACTGGTTTTCTGCTTCTTTTTTTGCTGGTGGCCCTTCCTGGCCAGAGAAGGGGATGCTTCCACTGGTTCATCGGCCCCCAGCAACCCTGAGAGCTGAAAGAATGGATGTTGGGGCTGCAGGTTCCAGAATGAGGGGGGCTGCTGGAAAGGGTTCTTCGGCTGTGCTCCCAGACGCCAGGGGACGACACAAAGGGCTGACTTCAGACTCACAATAGTGGGGCGGTTAGTCACAGTGCCAGGGCAGCGGGCAGGCAGACAGAGCCCCCTGTGTCTGCGCCTGGTCGGGCTGGGCCCTGCAGCCCCCATTTCCCCAGCTGGCTTCCCACCCCACCCCTGCCCGCTCCCCACATTAACCCCCTGCCGCCTGCTGCCTACCTGGCAGCCTGGCCGGGACTCCCTTGGCCAGGCTCTGGTTTCCACCAGCCACCCTGGCCAGAGGCGTGCTCCTTCTAGAAGCCGGGCTCAAGCCTGTATTATTTCACGGGCCTGTCTCAGGAAGCAGGCGTTGGAACAGCTCCGTCACCGTGGCTGGGCAGCGTCCATGCAGCCTGAGAAAGGAGGTTTTCATATTAGTTAGAGGCTCCCCACTTAAAGATTTCATCAGCATTTGCAAGTATTTGCCATTCAAGGACTGTGCATTTCTGGAAACAATGAAAAGCCAAAACTGTGAAAAATTAAGGAGTGGCCCTGAAGCTGGTGTCTGTAACTGCACATTTTAAAGTGAACAGACTGATATAAATATTTTAATCCTGTGCCTAGATAGATGGATAAGATAAAATAAATTAGTCATGTTCTGGCCCAGTCTGGAGACTATCTGAAAGCAAGACAAATGTCAGCATTTGCTGTTTAGGGTTACAATTAAAATCTCTCCTAGATTGAGCTTCTAGAGCCTCAGAGATGGAATTCGCTGTTTTGCCGCGATTTGACATTAAATTATTGACCGATGGGGAGGAGGGTAACTTCCCCCGAAAAGGTATAAAATGAAGTTGTCAGTCTCTCTTTTTAATTAAAAAAAAAATCTCTGCAAAGATTCTGCATTCTGGCTTTTCTTTGCGAAATTGAAGTGGCATGTGTTTTTATTTTAGAAGGCAGAGATGTTTTGCTGTGCCCGGTGTGAGGAAGCGAAGGAAAAGAAAGATCTTTTGAAAATGTGTGCATCTACTTGCAGCTTAGAAATTCCAAGTGCCAGACATTCTTCTTGGAGGAAATAAATGTCTCAATTTATTAATCTTACCTGTTGATTATGTTCTGGAATGATTTATTTCATAATTTAATCCTTGTCTAGAACTGAGGCCATCTTTGGAAAGTAAAAGACCTAGGTCTCGTTGGTCCAGGAGACATTGTGGCCTTCTGTTAAAATCATTGACCGCCAGGATCAGGGCCCAGGCGGCTCTCGGACGGAACCGGTCTGTGCTAGGCAGCCCGGCCCACTCGGCCTTCAAAAAACAAGGGATGGGAGACATATGCTCTGCTCACATCATTTTGTTTTGATTTATTTTAAACTGCTTAAGATGATTTTAGCACAAAGAGTGGTGTATCTCACTTGCATTCTGAGAGCCACTGGATTTTCAAGCTAGAGTACAATTTTTTTTTTAATCCAAATTTAGAAATTGCCTTTTAGAGTAGACAACAGCATGCTAGTTTGCCTTTTAACTCACTTTTAAAGAAAGATACTTAAGATCAAGTACATTGAATTTGGAGATTGGTCCCCCTCCGTTATTAGGGGCTGAAAATGGCCCAGTTTTCAAAAATAAGGTCAGAAAAGGGGTGTTTCTGGCCTAAGAGTTCTTCCAGGCTGGGCTCGTACCACAGAGATTCTTCCACACACATGTCCTGAGTTCTTGCCCTATACATAATTTTTTCTTCCAAGGAGGAGTGTGACATTCAGTTCCAATGTCATCGTGTGGAAAAGAGTCCCTGCCTGGCTGAGAAACTGTCACAGGCAGCCAGGCCACCTCCCAGCATGACCCACAAGCCCGATGGTGCCCCTCGAGTGGTTTAGGGACCCGCACAAATACCATTCTTTTAAAGCAAGCCAACACATTCTTCATGAATTACAGTTCCACCCTGGCTGCTGGTACTACCTCTAATAGTGGAAAAAAATTTTAAAGATTGGGGACAACAGGAAACACATTGGATCCCCAAGGGAAACGGCCTGGAAGCTACAGTAGGGACATGGGTGACCCAAGGGCTCTGGTCAAGTCCTGGGGCTGTTCCCTTTATTCCTCCAAGCCTCAGTTCCCCGGATTTAAAGTGAGAACAGCACCCAGCCCAGCCCACTGTCAAGGGCTGTTGCAGGAATATGACAACAGCCACCAATATTTGCATAGCAGAGATGCCCAGTTTCATTTTCTATTTGAAAGTTTCTCTGAAGGGGGATGTGCTAGAGACACAAGAACAACTGCTACCATCTTAATAACTTTTCTGGCAATACACGACGATGGTTGTTTATATTAATCTCATAACTATTAACAATAATTCATTTCATTCTCATAATGAATTATATCTATTTGACTTATAATATATATAATCATATCAGTAATACAGTCCTTTTCTGATCATGAAAGCAACATATGCTCACTATAGAAAATTTGGAAAATACAGAAAAATGCACATAAGGGAAAAATTATTCATCCTTTCTCCCACGCAGAGACAAGCTCTGGTCACATTTTCCTGTGTTTCCTTCCAGGCTCTGCTCTCTGCCGAGCAGCTTTCATCAATTCTCCTAGCATCTATTTTCAGATAACTCCATGGGCTTTTGTGATTGGTCCCTCCTTGTCACCTTGGCCTTTCTGGTCCTCAGTGGCAGTTCTTTCTCTCTGACTGCCTCCTTCAGGAGGGCCTGGCTCAGGGTCTGGGTGTTCAGGGAGAAGACCTCGTGCTCCACGGCACCCAGCCTCCTTGTCCTGCCGTGCTGGGAGCCCTGTTGGGGCAGTCCAGACACACGGCCAGCACAGCCCCACGGCAAAGCCAGGCCTGCAGGTGGGCTTAGGGTGTCAGGGAGCCGGAGCGAGTGGTATGAAACCCATTATCTCGCAGGGCCCAAGCTGTGGAGGTGAGCACGCTAGGTCTTCCCGTGCAGGAGAGGGCTCGGAGGTGGGAAGATGCAGGCAGGCCGTCCCCGACAGAAAACCCAGGAACACTGCAGCATGGATTGCGGGGAGCAGGGGAGAGCGTATAAAAAGCAGCTTCGATGCTTGAATTCTCAGCAAAGAAAGATGCTTGGGCCAAATCAAACAAACCACTTCTTAGACATGCAAAGTTTCATCGGAACTGTTAGGATAACGTTTCCAAGGTGTTCAGCTTTATGGCCCTGACTTACACCCGCTGCATGGTTGGGGGTTAGTGCCAAGTGGTTTGGTAGGCAGAAATCCACCAGAACTTCAGTGCAAGGGCACAGTCCCCCAATACCATGTCACAGTCATGCACGTGCCTTGGCCGACCCCACAAGTCCATCAGGAAAAAGTTCCACAGAACCAGGCCTCTGGAGGGGGAACCACACAGACCTCCCTATTGCCTTCTGAGTAACTGATCCAAAGGCATTTCTAGAATAGCCGGGTACATTCGTGATAGGAGAAATGAAGTCTATGGGGTCTACCTTAACCCCCTTAGAATAATGCAGTGGCCTCAACGTCTTAACAATAGATCATTCGAGATTTATTAATAACCTAAGTTGCAGACAAACTTCACAGGCGAGATCACAGGTTGCAGTGTTCATTACAGTATAGACATATTAGGGGGACATGACAGTGAATTATCCCATAGCGAAATAATGGAACATTGTGTCACCCTTAAAACGGTGTTGACATTTTGGGAGACCAAGGCGGGTGGATCACTTGAGGTCAGGAGTCCGAGACCAGTCTGACCAACATGGTGAAACCCTGTCTCTACTAGAAATACAAAAATTAGCTGGGTGTGGTGGCTTATGCCTGTAATCCCAGCTAGTCAGGAGGCTGAGGCAGGAAAATTGCTTGAACTTGGGAGGCGGAGGTTGCAGTGAGCCGAGATCACACCATTGCACTCCAGCCTGGGTGACAAGAGTGAAACTCCATCTCAATAAATAAATAAATAAATAATAAAATGGTGTTGACAAAAAGTTTGGAATGGCATGGGTGTGTATGGGATACATTACCTTCCTACAGTATATACATATGTAAGATATGTCTGTGTATGCATATGTGTGCTGAACAATAGTTGGGAGGGAATTACAACAGAATATTATTTCTGGATCATGGCATGTAGGTGAATTTTCCTTTTTTTGTGTATACTTAACTCATATTTTTTTATTTACTACTGAAATTATCTGTATCTCAAATATCTATCTTTATATTTTATTCTTAAATTGCACATAATTTACACTTTCCTGTGCCTTTCTTAAACACGTGGCATTTTTATAATCAGGGAAAAACTATTTTTAAAGACTCATTATAGAAAGATAGACAAACAGAGACAAATGGCATGTTTTCTTTCAGTCATTGGGGATGGATGATACACGTAGCAGAAGTATTCGTTAGACCAACAAATAGGAATAGTAAGTCAATATTGTTCTTTCTTTCATAAAAGATTTATATGTTGGTAGCTTATTAATCAAATACTACGTGAGTTTTCTAAGCAAACACATATACTTGTACACCAGGGCAGAAAAATCTCAATTAAGATTTTGTGTGGACTCGAGAAGTGTTTTTGTTCCCTAAACAATAGCATTAAGAAGGGAGGAAAAAGGCCCGACATCTTCTTGGATCCTTGGTTGGATGACAACCCTCCCGTGGTGAGACGTGGGGCCTGATTTTCAGTTTGAGTTTTCTGCTTCCCTTGTTTGGTTTTTTAAAGATAATTTAAAAGATTCTGAAAGTTTATTACTGGAGAAGTCCATAGATCCTGAATTTATAGTGTCAGATTAATAAATTGTGGTCTTTGAGTGGGAATCTTAGTGGTTTATTTAGACTCATCAGTTGCCTTATTATTTTTCTAAAAGAAAGAAAACATTTATTTTTTTTAAGCTTGTATTGCCCTTAAAATATTTCTCTGCACTCTTAGGTCACCTGTCTATTCACGACGGGAGCACATCGCTTGTGTTACGAGAGTAGAATTTTCTTCCTTAACCATAATGTGCCAGGATTTTGTTATATGGAAAAATCTGTCCATGTTTCCAACTAATATTTCTTAGCCTTCAGGCAAGTGCGACTTGCTTCCCTGTAAAATGAATTCCCAGGACCTACGGTATCGGGACAGGCAGAATTCTTTAAAATGCAGGGCCCGGGGCGACCCCACCACGTCCCGGTTGGCTCCGGACGGTCCCGGGCTACCCGCCGGCCGCACAGCCCCCTCTCCCGGGCCCGGCCGGCCGGAGCCTCAGTTTCCCCGTCAGAGCGGGGCGGAGGCGAGGCTGGGGGCGCCCGGGCGGCGGGGACGGGGCTGACTCGGCCAGGCGCACCCGGCTGGGAGGTCGCGCGGGCCCGGGAGCCTCCAGCAGCCCGCCCGGGCCTCCAGGGCGCGACCCCCTAATCCGCTTTAGTCAATATATTGTGAGCTCCGCTCGGGCAAAGTAAACAGGCGCCGAACAAAGCGGCGGCCGCCGCCGGCGACTCCTGACCCCGGGGTCGCGCCCTTTGTTCGCCCTCAATAGGGCAGCCCCGCCGCCCGGCCCGCGGCTAATTGGGGCGCGTGCCGTCGCCTCTGCCCGGACGCGCCCTCGGACGCAGGCCCCGGACCCGCCCGCCGACTCCGACCCGACCCGGGCCTCGGTCCCCGGCTCGAACCCTCGTCCCTGCCGAGGCGGACCGCGGGCCCAGACTCCGACTCCAGGCCTCGTTTCGAACCCGGGGGACCCGCCGGGACCCGCCCCGCCCCGCTGCAGACCGAACTCCCCGCCCGCCGCGGACCCGGAGCCTCAGGCCTGGTGCCGGACTCGGCCCTGCCTCGCGTGCCAGCCCTGGGGCTGCCTGGAGGAGGCGCACCGAGGCCTCCCCGCCTTCAGAGCCGCGGCGGGCCTAGGCCCTGTGCCCCGCCAGGCCCGGAGCTGGCTGGCTGAGACTGGCCCGCGCCTCCCGCCCCGGGGCCGGGTGCTCCTGGTCTGCGCAAGGTCCCCACGCACTCCCGCGGCCACGTGGGTGCCTGTCGCCTGGAGCGGGGTTGGGGGAGGCCGCAGCGACACTGCTCCCCGGGTCCCGGGGCTCGTGGTCCGCCTGTGCAGGCCCCGTAAGGACCTCAGACAGCCGGGATGCAGAGGAGAC